GGGGGCCCCGGGCCCGGGGGGGGGGGGCGCCAGGCGCCGGGGGGGGGGGGCGGGGGGGGGGGGGGAATGTTTTTTTGTGTGTCCGGGTGTTGTGGGGGGGCCCGGAAAAGAGGGGGGAACCCCGGCCGGGGGGGGGGCCCCCCCCCCCCCGCCCCCCGGCCCCCGGGCCCCTGCCCTTGGGGGTCCCTGTCCCCGGCCCCCCGCCGGCCGGGCCCCCCCTGCCCCGCCACCCCCCGGCCGCCGCCCCTTCCTTTTCCCTTTTTTCCTTTTTCTCTCCCTCTCTCCCCCCCCCCCCCCCCCCCCCCCCCCCGCGGCCTCCCCCCCCCCCCCGGGGCCCCCCCCCCCCCCCCCCCCCCCCCCCCCCCCCCCCCCCCCCCCCCCCCCCCCCCCCCCCCCCCCCCCCGTCCCCCCGGGGCCCTGCCCCCGCCCCCCCCCCCCCCCCCGGCGGGGGGGGGGGGGGGGGCTCCCGGGCGGTGCGGCTGGGGGGGGGCGGGGGTTTTGGGGCGCGGGCGGGGCGGCGGGGGGGGGGGGGCGCCGGGGGGCCCCGGGCGGGGGGCCCCCCCCGGGGGCGCCCGGTGTTGTTTTTTTTTTTTTGCTTTTGTTCTCGGGGGTGGGCGGGCTTTCCCCCTCCCCGCCTCCCCCCCCCGCCCCCCCCCCCGGCCTCCCCCCCCTTTTCCTCGCCCCCCGCGCGGCCGGGTTCCCCTTTTTCCTTTTTTTTCGGTGCCCTTTTCCCTCTCTTTTTCCCCCTTCCCCGGCCCTTGGCCCCCCCCCGGGCCCCCCCCCCCCCCGCCCCCCCCGGGCCTGGGCGGCGTCCGCCCTCTGGGGGGCCCGGCCCCCCCCCCCCCGCGGCTCCGCCCCCCCCCCCGGCCCCTCCTCGGGCTTTTGGGGTCCTCCTTCGGTTCTTTTTGTCCCCCTTCGGCCGCTTTTGGGCCCCCTCTTGGGGGGTTCCCCCCCCCCTGGGGGGCCTTCTTTCCCCCCCCGGGCCGGGGCCCCCCGGCCCCCCCCCGGGGCCCCCCCCCGGGGCCCCCCCCGGGCCCCCCCGCCCGGGCCCTCCCCCCCCCCCCCCCCCCCCTCCCCCCCCCTTCCCCCCTCCCCCCCCCCCCCCCCCCGCCTCTCCCCGGCCCCCCCCCGCCCTCCCCTCCCCGGGCCGGGGGCGGCCCCCCCCCCCTGTCTCCCTGGTCCCCTTGCCCCTTCCCGTCTTGCCCTTCGCTTTTCCCCCCCCCTTGCCCCCCCCCCCCCCCCCCCCCCCCCCGCCCCCCCCTCCCCCTCCCCCCCCCCCGCCCCCCCCCCCCCCGGCCCCCCCCCCCGCCCCCCCCTCCCGCCCCCCCCCCCCCCCCCCCCCCCCCCCCCCCCCCCCCCTCCCCCCCCCCCCCCCCTCCCCCCCCCCCCCCCCCCCCCCCCCCCCCCCCCCCCCCCCCCCCCCCGCCCCCCCCCCCCCCCCCCCTCCCCCCCCCCCCCTCCCCCTCCCTCTGGGGTGGCGTTGGGGGCTCCCCCCGCCCCTTCCCCCCCCCGGCCGCCCCCTCCCCCCCCCCCCCCCCCCCCCCCTCCCCCGCCGCCCGCCGGCCTCCCCCCCCCCCCCCCCCCCCCCCCCCCCTCCCCCCCCCCCCCCCCCCCCCCCGGCGGCCCCCCCCCCCCTCCCCCCCCCCCCCCCCCCCCGGCCCGGGCCGGTTGCCCGCTTTCCCCCCTCCCCCCCCCCCCCCCCCCCCCCCCCCCCCCCCCCCCCCCCCCCCCCCCCCCCGGCCGGGCCCCCCCCCCGTCCCGCCCCCCCCCCCCCCCCCTCCCCCGGCCCCCCCCCCCCCCCCCCCCCCCCCCCCCCCCCCCCCCCCCCCCGCCCGGGGGCCCCCCCCCGGGCGGCGGGCGCCGCCCCGCCCGTGTTTTTTCCCCGGGGGTGGGGCCCCCCCTGTGCCTTTCCCCCCCCCTCCCCCCCCCCCCTCCCCCCCCCCCGGCGGCCCCCCCCCCCTCCCCCCCCCGCTCCCCCCCCTCCCCGGGGGGGGCCCGCGGCCCGCCGGGGGCGGGGGCCGGGGCCCGGGGCGGCCCGGCCCCCGTGCCCCCCCGGGGGGGGCCCGGTGTTCCTTTTTTTTTTCTTTTCGGGCCCCCCCTTCCCCTCTCCCGCCCCCCCCCCCCCCCCCGGGCCCCCCCCCCCCCCCCCCCCGGCCCCCGCCGGGGGGGGGGGGGCCCCCCTTCCCGGGCGGGGGGCGGGGGGGGGGGGGGACTCCTCGCGCCCCCCTGGGGGGGCCCCCCCCCCCCGTTTGTTTTTCGGTTTCGGGGGGGGGGTTTTTTCCCCCCCCTTTTTGGGGCCTCCCCCCTTTTTCCCCGCCCCCCCCCCCCCCGCGGCCCGCGAGGCCTCCGACTATCAACGCGCCCGGGACAGTGTTGCCCACTGTCGTTGACTTGGGCTATGTGGTGGAAATGGGGACTTGGGTTAGACGCGTCGCGACGCGTGTTAAATTAGCGCGCCTCGATGTACCTCTTAAAATAGAATTCCACCTTGTTCTCTGCTACCTATGCTTGCCCGGACTGCCCGAGAATGAGTAGCACCTTGTCTCCCCCAAACCATGCCCGAGACCCCCGCCAGACACGTCCAAACCAGCCCCAAATCCATTTTTTTCTCCCCTACTAGGTTTATCTCGTGACTTTCTAGAGGTCCGTGCGCCTCAGAAAGTTGTATATTAGAGTACGCTCTCGCTCGCGCGACTTGGCGAGCGAGCGCGACTTAGCGTTGGAGCGAGGCGTGCAAGGGAGGGTAACATGTTATATAAGCAGATTTAATCAATCAAAATCAAACGCGCGGAGGACGCACAGACGCACAGACGGCGCACGTCCTGAGTCGAGGCGTAGGCGGAGGACGCACACACGCACAGGCGCACACACGCACAGGCGCACACACGCACACAGTGCCACGTCGCGTCGTGTATACGCTCCACTCAATCGAAGCCTTGCTCGGTTGACCAAGCCAGCTTTGCTCATCTTCCTCCTTTCCGCCTTGCTTCCGCCTCCTGCCCAGTCACTCCTTCATCTCGCCCACCAATCAACTCCGTCCTTGTTACCTTCACCCTTGTCTCTTCTGTTCTCACCCATGGCTGGATCGGTTCTGTTAGCGTTAGCGTGGGCGGCGCCAAGAAGCTCTTCAAAGGCAACGAGCCCACCGAGGAGCTGCCCAACGCTGCCTCCAGTGCCATCCGCCAACAACCTCCCTGTTAGTAAGCACACAACCTCGCAACCTGCAGCAAACACGCAAAGCTCGCCAGCCAAGTGGCCACCGTCGCTGCCGGTAGCAAGCTCGATGTGTTCTGGCAGACGCTCACGGGCTCCGGCTTCTGGTTCCATGATGTTGGTCCCATGATGGCCTATATGGCGGACTGTGGCGGCAATTGTGCTCAATTTGACGCCAGCAAGGCCAAGTGGTTCAAAATACAAGAACAGGGCATGGATGCGAGCGGTAAATGGGCTCAGGCAAACCTTGGTGTGTCGAATCCCATCCTCATGTTAAATCTCGTTTTGACTCACCGCTCCAAATAGACAATGGCTCTCCAGCGACCGTAACCATTCCGGCGAACCTCAAGGCGGGCAATTATCTCCTCCGACACGAAATCATCGCCCTCCACACTGCGCAGTCTCAAGGCGGTGCAGAGTTTTACCCTGGCTGTGTGCAGCTCAGTGTCACTGGCGCAGGCAAGGGTGTGCCAAGCGACAGCGAGACCGTCAAGCTTCCTAGCGCATACAAACCGACTGACGCTGGGATCCTCATTGACGTGCGGCCATTCATCATGCTTATTCGCTGTACTAACCCGTCCCCATCACCAGGTCTATAACATGAAGGGCGCCTACAAATTTCCAGGCCCAGCCGTGGCCTCTTTCATTGGTGGTGGATCTCCGGCCCCAGCACAGGGTGGCTCTGATGATAACACTACCGAGAAGCCGTCCTCCCCCCGCCACCACAAAGAAGAGCACTTCCCCTCCTGCAAGCTCTACCACCAAGAAAGCTTCGTCTCCGGCTTCCTCTACCACGAGTGTCGCATCCGCGGTACCGACGAAATCTGGCTCAGCTTCCTGTCGGGCGAAACGTTCCCACCACCGCCGTCAAGAGGTTGTCGATGTCCGCGAGGAAGTCCGTCGTTCCCGGGTTCGCCACATGCATCGGGCTGGCGTTGCCCGTTCCTTCTGAGCACAGTTTTGCCATTGTTCCACCACAACCCCCGATTACTCCGTCCACATTATCTCCGACTCCCCTCCCCCAACAACTCCCGTCCATCCTTTACATGACCACGTCCCCAGACAGCACTGTCTCTTCTTGATACGAACCCGCTTTCCGACCCTTGCTTTGCACCTGCTCTCGTACCACGACCGTATCGCCAGGACGCGATGCTTGTAGTGCAGCCAGTCCTGCGCGCTTATGTACCTATCTTGATGCTTCGATAGTATTACCTTCGAGCTGGGCCCCATGTACTAGCATACAGGGCTAGAATCGAATCCTAGTTTTGATTTAAACTCAGTGTGGACAGTCTTGGGGGCTTGAGGAGCAACAGCCGAGATTCAGAAATGTTCTGGCTGGAAAAATCTTGTGGGAATGGGCGAAGCCTTTTCTATTTCTCAGTCCTGTCACAATTATGTGTGCCAGTCAAGTTTTTCGGACCCAGAGACTTGACATTTTTCATTGAGCTTCAAGTGCAGCAGGACTTCTCTATCAAAGCCAAACTACTAGTATTTTTTGAATTAGATGACTGGAAGAAGAGGTCAAGTGGGAAAAATGAACTGGATAAAGCAAGAGGCAGAGATACTCCGAGCATACTCGGAGTACATGAAATTTAATTGTGGAGGCTTTATATAAGCTGACTACTAGTAGCACCCCCAGAAGACAACATTCAAAGGATGTCAATGATGACCCTTGTTCGTACGAAATTCAAGTTGGAACTGGCGGAAACAGGTATATTTGGGGGCTTCATGTGGGTATAACAAATCTGGGAACCCTCGAGGTATCGATAGTATATCACGATCCAAGCCTACTGTGTCGTTGTCCTGTGATACATGAACACCGTGGCTTCCAAGAAAATAGAGGATCAATGACTTACCGCGATATACCTTCAGGAAACAAGGTCTCCAATGAATCTGTTCGTGGGCGTTGGAGTATTTGCACACGAGAGTCCGCAGCGCTCATGCTATTAGCGCGTATGATGGACTGGCGCTTCAGTTTCGGGACGGGTGGCTGTTCGTGGCCGTTATCAGCCTTGACCCGCACGGAATGGCGACTGCGACGGGCGTCAGACGACCCAGTCGAGGAGGTGGATGTCCTGCGGCGCTGGCAATGGGGCGTTGGGCCGCGTGACTTGGGCGAGACCGGGGAGGGCGGGGTTATGGCATGGAGGGAAATCGAGTGGATGGGGCGTGGAGCATGAACATAGACCGGGAACTGGGCTGGAGGGAGATAGTATGTGCTTGCTGGAGGCTGGAAGAGCGTCAGCTGAGTGACGCATGGTGATAAAGTGATGCCTCACCGGAGCCTCGAGCCCGTCGTCTGTCTCTTGCACTGGGAACGCGGTTTTGGGATTGAGGGCCTTATCGATTGGCGTTAGAGGTATGCAAACAGACAAGCGCTACCGCTTACAGGAGGGTTGGCGGGTAATGGAAGCTCTGGACTGCTGCTCAATGCAAGAGGGGCAAGGCGCTGGGTGGACGCTGGTCGGCGATTCATCAGTTTGGCGAGTTCCATTGGGGTACGGGCGTAGCGGGGCGAAGCGGCACCTCGAGTGCGGGAAGAGGGGGAGACAGGGCTGGAGCTGTAGGAGCTGTTGCTGCTGCTCCGTCGATGGTGATTACTTCGGGAGGAATTCCAGTTGTTCGACATTCGTGAGGTCGTATTAGCGCCGCTCTCAACGTCGACAAGAAGTTGCTCGAGGACCTGTGCGGTCATCTCGAGCTTGGGAACCTGATGAAAATCGTTAGACTTGACCACGGGAGACTGAGGGAAAACTTGCAGTTGGCAGCGCTCTCGCCAGGTCGCGCCAATACGAATCATTTGTGATACTTTCCATTGCGGCTTGAGGTAAGTTGCGGAGGGAGTGGGTCGCTAATAGCCCAGATAGGAAGACAAGGAGGTTTTATATCCATCTCCGCCAGCTTGCAATGAGGCAGACAATGTGTCTTCGTGGTTGATGATTTGGCTCGATAAAGCCATGCCGCGGCCTGCATGGAGGCAGATAAGCCGCCATATACAATTGTGTGGGAACAAGAGCAGGCGAGCCGCCAATCTTTCGAGCTGCACGAGCGGCGATTGGGAAGGTTACGGAGCCATCGCGGAAGAAGAACCGTTGCACTGCCCCCGCCATCCCGTGACCACTTTTGACAGCATCTCGATCACCTGTCGTCCGCCCTCCTCTCCTTCCGCCCCCATGTCCTCCGCCTTCCTGGCCCCAGTGTCGGCGGCCAGCACGCTCGTTTCGGGCGTGTCTGTGCCATATGACGTCCTTGACCTCATTTTACGCGCCGCGCCCGATTTTGACACCCTTCATGCCGCTGTGGGCGTCTGCTCTACGTGGCACACAGTGTTTGTTTCTGCACGACAGTCGATTCTAGTGGCGGTTGCGGGCAACATTGTTGGCCCCGCCTTGCCCCAGGCGGTGCGGTACCTGCGCTACCCCTACCCTGAGAAGACGCCAAATGACTGGAGTGGAATAGAGGGTCAGGAAAATGACGAGGATTCAGTGACTGAATCGGACACGGAGGATGATGAGGACAGCGCGACACCTGCAAAAAGGAAACCACAGACTCCCAAGCATCCACCTTACGCTGAGGACAAGCCTCTCGGCATTCTTACTCCCGAAGAACGCTTCAAGCTCGCGAGGAATGCCCAGCTTGTGGAGGATCTGGCGCTGTGGTTTATTGAAAAGTATGTCGTCCAACAGTATCACGTCTTCCTCCTCATGTAGTCCACCCAGATCATCGCATCCAACGCCCCTTACGCCCTCCCAATTTCACCGCTTTTCCCGTGCTGCATATCGTGTCATGCTCTTCTGCGAGTTGTTCTATCTCCCGTTAAACCTCGACGACATCGACTCCATGGAGGACAACGAACCCGGAATTATCGCCAAAATACATACCGCACGCCTTGCCCATCTGCGCGACTACACTGCTTCCGACCTATTCGCGATACACTCTGTCGTCGACTTGATGTACTTGCTCATTAACGATGTGCTTTCGGACCCGGCCGATTTTTCGCGGCTGAAGGACATCTGTCTCGCTACGGGGCCAGCGGTGATATTGGCAGCGCACAATCAGAAGAGCGAGCAGCCATTTGAAGATGCGCTGGAGCCCGAGGTCATGACCTCCGAGGAGGACAACCAATTGTTCACTGGATTCTTGACAGCGTCCCTCGGGGCGCGGTTGAAGGAGCTGGATAAAACACTGCCTATATCAGTATGGGGTGCTATTCTGGACGAAGATCCCGTAGTGCTAGCGGCAGCTTCAAACTGTGAGTTCTCTTGTCTTGTCATTCGTTTATCTTACCGTTCTTCAGGTGCGCAATGTGGTATCGCAGCCGAACTGTGGCATAAAGCTAGTGAGACTTTTCTCCGCTACAATGGTCCCAGCATAACCTCACGTAGACTGGGCCCGCTTGATCGCGGTCGACTTCTGTGCGCTTCTTCCGGGCCAACTTAACGAGAACGATATTGAAGCTGCCCCTCTGGTCGAGCTTGTTATGGGGCCCACCGCCGCCTCGCGGCTCGGGGCAGAAAAACTCATCGAGGGGCTATACGATGACGCTTCTCTTCGTGCGCCGAACTCCGAGTTCTCCTTGTGGACGAAGGACGAAAAGCTCTGTATGGCTTGTATGCACCGCTTTGTCGGCGCACATCTCGTGGGGTGGTTGTACAAGCAGAAGGTCGCTAGTGAGTCTTTTGACCTTGTCTTGTTTCATCTGATATGCCTGGCTTCCAGATGGATGGAGGCCGAAGCAAAACTGCTGGTACGGATGGAACTGCAGAACGCAGGTGCATAAACCTGACCATGCCAAAACGATGAATGTGTGTGTCTGACATTCACATTTTTATCTGGTGCTAACTAAAGATGATAGCATCTATGTGCCCCGACTCGCTAAGGGGTTTCGGCGGCAGACGTTAACGATTTACAAGATTTGTAGCTCTAGATTTTTATGAGGTATTTGCCTCTTCAGGATATAGCAGCGAATTCGCTCAGGTGTAATGCGTACTTGTTATCTTTGGAATTTAATAGAATTCTCAGGTAAAAACGATAATCAAACGACTGCCTTAGCATGTTGAACAATATAAAATTCGACGAGATCCAGAAAATTCAACCCCTACTCATGAAAAACAAAATGAAGAACTGTGTAGAACCCAACCTTATTCCCGGCAGCTCTACGTAGGCGAAAACGTCAACGAGCTCATCACCAAGGTTTGAGGGTTGGTGACGATGCCAGCCTTTAGATAGCCTGCAACACAGGCCTGGTTCTGTGCCAGCGTGGGGCTGCACACCGAGACGACCCATTGCTGGGGCGGAGTGACGACTTCCCGGACAAAAGTGCATGCGGGGAGCAGTTGGCCCTTCATCATGAAGGTAATCGTGGTGTCCTGGGGGCCGAGCCCGTTGGGGCAGGTGAACGACAGTCCCACCGTCGAATAGGGCTGCGAGTTGACCGGAAATTCGCCGAACAAATATGATCCAGTCCCTCCACATCCCGCCAGGCTGTCCATTGGCTGGGCTTGGAGGTGGAGGTCGCTAATCGAACGGCCGGACCCGATTGCGTAGAAGCCCTAGCAAGTGTTGGACACAGCAGCAGTGGAGGTCGAAACAACTCACGGTATCTCCGGAGCCCATTATTTTGACATGTCCGTTTGTGCCATACCCGACGGTGCCGGTTTGGGGGCTGGAGCCTGCGGATAGATATTTGACTACACCCGGCGTTCCAGGGACATTGCATCGAGGTGCTGTCGGGGCAGGCGGCAGAAGAATCTTTCAGGGGTGAGTGCAATTATCTAGCTGGTGTAATCACATACCCGGGGATTAAATGTGGAAGGGTTGTACTGCCATTATTTCTTCATGAGCAGCAAACATGAGGGTGCTCAGAATATAGTACTCACCACATTGGAGGTATACAGTGCAAAACATGTGGGGACAGGCATTCCAGCGCGAGCAGATAGTGTTTGCATTGCCGCACGATAAAGGTTCCATGAATTAGTTCCGCGAGATCTAGTATGGTGGTTCTCAATGCACTGAAAATAACTTGTAGCTGATTGGACTTACGTGCATCCATTAGGATAGGTGTTGATTAAGTTTGTCAGCCATGTGTTAAACATGAGGGGCAAACTAGCATCATTTGCCAAGACAGTCGTTGGTGTGATCTCAGAAAGCAGATTTTGTACAGACAGTGCAGTTGCTTGGAATATTTGTGATGTTCCACCAAAATCTTTTTGAAAAAAGAAGAAGATTAGGTTTAAACCATCTGATTGGTAAATTTCCTGGTACATACATTGGCCAACAGCTGCAAGATTTCTCAAGAAAAACCTGAAATTTGATAAGTGATATAGAGTGCTCTGTTTTTGTCACAAGAACTTACTCCATACGATATATCTGATCTGATGCTGCATTGAAACTGGCAGAACTGGCAATATTACTGATCTTTGCTGCCATTGGTGGATTGGTAGGTGTGTTTGCATTTTGATTGACAACATTTGATTTGGCTGTTTCTTATCAGTTGAATTCTTGCGAAGTTGGCAAGCACACACCTTGGTTCAGGGGCTTGTCCACCCAGCTAAAAGTCAAATGATCACTGGTTGAGGAGTGCACTTAACAGACAGAATATAACTTACACCATATTTGCAGTCTATATTTGTGAAATTAAATCATTATTGTTAAGAGACTAATTGATAGAAACAATACTCACCTTATCAATACTTTCCACTAGAGCAAGTCCCATGGTTGAGCCATCTGCACGTGCATAATCAATCAGATTATCAGATACCCTATGTCATAATAGTATGAGAATCCAAACATAAATTCTATATTGTTAATTACCAGTTGCAATCTCCAGCCAGCATTGGTGCACTTCCAACCCATTGTCCAATATAACCCAGCCTAATATCATCAGTATATCTCTATGTCATAAGTGAAGTAGATAACCCACTCAAACACATGCTCCTCTATGAAAATAGATGATTAGCTCACAAATTCATTACACATAGATAGGACCTACGGTTTGTTGACTGGCCACCTGTTGGGGGTCCAGAAACAGGAACAGCATTCAGTGTTGTATCAATACTATTTCTTGCAGCATTGAGCTGGACATAGTCTGCAGCACCTAGCAGAACATTGTTGACATTTGTAACCATTATACCATCACACCGTGGAATATTAATTTCTAGTGTTGGTTGGGGTCTGTTAGGGTGTTTGGTGAATCACCTACTGCGGTTTCTACGGACTAAGAAATGGGTACTATTCTGGGTGCTGACAGTAGATTTGTTAACTTGATGTGCAACTGATATTGCCAAAGGTTGAGACTTTTGCAAAGGGGAATCTGTTAGCCAATGCCACATCTGCTTTAGTTTCCCTGCTACTTGGTCGCTAAATGCCAAGAGCTGAGGAATAGGATATTTGTTGACAGATTTCTCTAGCTTGATATCTTCCAAAGGCTTAAATTGAGGTTATTTTCCTGAGAACACAAAGGGACATACCACGCTTGCGGCGTTGATCAGGATCAGTACCTTGTCCATCCCAATCAGCATTGTCTGGCTCATCAGGTAGTGTCAAATCAACAGGCATTGTTGGACAAGAAGATGGTGTGCTGCTTGTTGAGCTCATGGACATTGTTGTTTGACTACCTTCATTGTCACCATCAGAAGGTGTTGGAGTTGGGCGTGGAATTGGATTGGTCCAAGGACCATCCCAGCCTGGAGGTGGCATTGGAACCTATATATATATATAAGTTTCAAGAATTTCATTTATAAAATTCATCAACACACTGGGGTAATTCCACCAATTATCCCAATATCGAGTGGTAGGCATGGATCTATTATCCCACCAAAAAGAAGAGACCAAAGGTTGAGGCTGTTACACCGGTTATGATCTCCAGGAGGTCCAATAATAGTTGGGTGGACTGCATTTGTATTAGGAGGTACGGGAATAATAGTGAGATATGTTGGTGTTGATGTCAGTGGGCCTGTAAATGTGATTGTGGAGGCGCCGGGAGGTGGAAGGATATCAAGAGCTATGGAAGTAATTTAATAGGCAGGATGTTGATGAAGCAGCTAAATACATACACCAGGTAGGAAAAATACCACCCACTTCTGAGCACTGAGTTGCTAAAGGGCCATTGACTGGTGTACCCCCACTGCTAAGTGTTATTAACACCTCATGCTAGAAGTAATCAATACCTATTGAGAGTAATAGTTGCTTTGCCTGCTGATATAACAGTTGTAGTAGTGGGAATAGCAAAGCTTGTAGTTGTTCCAGAGCAGACAAATGTTTCAGATTTTGCACCTGGAGATGGAAATGGATTTGGATCTGCATTTATCTAGTCAATAATAATGCAGCTTTAAGATACTGGATTACTTACTCCAAGGAACATTAGAGGTTACTTGGGGCGGTTGTCCTGTTGTTATAGTCTACACAATATTAGGATATTATGTTCATATTCTGATAACAATGAAAATCATACATTAGGGAAGACAGGATCTGTCCACGGGCCAAGCCAGCCAATTGGCATAATTGGTGTAGGAGTTATTCCACCAGAGATACCAATTGATGTTGGTAAAAAGCCCTATAATAGTAGGACCAGTTGAGGCACCAGAAATTGACCATTTGACTCCACCAGGACCAGTTACTGTTTCAATGCTCCCAATTGTAGGTGATGGAACCACAGTTGTAAATGTTGGATTGCCACTAATAGGTGCAGTGAATGTAATTGAGGCTGAGTTTGGAGGAATAATGGGGAGTGTCCAACTTGGTGTCACTCCATTTACTTCAGAGATAGTTGATGGCAACATTGCAGTCACAGGTGTGCCTCCAGGATCCAAAAAGATGAACTGGCCACCAAGTGTGACAATTGTGGGCTGCGTTGGAATGGAAATCACAGTGCTTCCACCCCCACTAGCTACAAATGTTTCTGAGCTAGCTCCAGCATGTGGTACTGGATTTGGGTCTGGAATGTTTTGTTAACTTATCTTTTTAACTAAAGAGAATGCCTTACTCCAAGGAATGAAGTTGAAGTTTCCAAAGACACCATTACCAGAACCATTTCCGGGAGCACCCATCCCCTAATATAATTGAGTCCTGGTTACTTAGCTTGATATCACTGGTCATTACGTACATTAGACTCCCACAAGGTCAGAGTGCTTGCAAATCCATTGATGTTATCTGCCTGCAAGGCAACAGACATGTTTCCAGGGTAGCTAATCATGTTGGTGCTTCCTGCAGTTGTAAGCTGGTATATATATACTGCTGATGATTCTTGGTCTACAAGGACCATAGAGTTCTGGCAGTTTCGACTTGGAACACAATCCTGTCCATAAGACTAAAATGATGTTAAACTGGAGTAGAAAGGTAAAATACTATACTTACCTGAAAGAAACTGTAAAGCCCAGCACCATAAACAAATATATTGAAGGAGTTTGTGATGACAAGACCCCAGGCATCTGCAACAACCTCAGTTGGGTCTCCATAGAGTGAATTGGCTGAGAATGGTGCAGGGGGTCTTGGAGAAGGCTGAAAATAAGGTGTTTCAGTTTGAATTAGTCCAGCATAAATATTCTGAGCATTATTGAATGAATATTGGTAGAGCACCTATTTTGGTAAATGTTAGAATTGCTATCTAAACTTGAATGAAATCATACACGTACATGATGCTCTGAGGCTGTTCCTACAAGCCAGACTGGTCCACCAGCTGATTCAACAAGGATTCCTCGGGCACTTAAGGAGTTGATTCGAGTTTGATTTGGATCATCCAAGTCATGATCTATTTCATTAATGAGCTTATCTCAAGAAAGAGGTTTATCACTTGCCAGCATTCCAAACCCAGACATTCTAGTAATCAGATTAAAACAGATTAACAATAATATTTTGTAAACATATCATACCTCAAAGTAACCAGAGCCAAATGTAGTGATATGAAGCCCTAGAAATGCTGAAGCACAACTGGCTAAATTAATTGATGATGTAGGACAGTTTGCACTGTTGACTTTGGTGCCCTAATAAAAATAATGTTATGTTAAGTGAGAAATTTGCAAACTAACTGACCATGGCACCTCCAAGCCGGATATGGACATCCCAGAGACCTGCAGCTCCAGGTGAAGATGCCTCTAGATTCCATTGAATGCCAATAGCCCCAGCTGAGCCACCTGTTGTTGTAATAACCAAATCACTCATTTCTACTACTCCATTGTCTCCAGGATTCCCAACCTAACATTTAAGATCAGTGAAGCTGATTTCTCAAAGGAAATATTAATGTATACCTGAATCACAGGACGAGGATTTGCTTGGCTCGCAAAATTGGATCCTGTGCCCATGATAACAGAATATAAAACACCAACAATCTGTGTCCCAGATGGCACAAATATTGTGTCTGTTACAAGATATGTTCCTGTTTCAATAACTATAACAATATTAATAAATTGTACCAATATAATATATATTGATAAGTAGGCCTTACCAAGTATAGCACATCCTGAATTCTAAGAATAGATGGAAATTTGTCTTGATCAAGAGTTTATAACATACCTGAGAGAGAAAGTTGTTGATAGCCGCTGTATCATCAGATACTCCATCACCCTTTGCTCCAAGCCCACTTGTCATCAGGGTACGAAACTCTAGAGAAGGCTATTAGATACTTGAAAATAAAGTCAGGGAAATATCCTACGGCTAGTGGCATATAACTGGTACTGTGGCCGAGAGCGTGAGAAATATATTCCAGTTATGTCAGTTAAGAGCTGTGGCCTAGATCCAGCAGGTGTATAAGATCCTCTGAGATATTTCTTTGAATTTCCTTGAAGTTTGAGTTAGTAAGATATATATACAAAAATTTTCATGATATACCTAGATAAACATTTCCTTGAAACCATTCAAGACCAATTCCAGAGTTTGCAGCTACAACTGTTCCACTAGCATCCTGAATATTGGCTGTTGTAATGCCAGAAAATGCAACATTATCTAAGACTAGAGAGCCAGCAAGTGTGGTAGGTTGACTGCTTGACATCTATGAATTTATCAGCTGAGTATGAATTAAATCTTAATTAAGAGATTTACCCGAATGCCAATCCCTGTTGAGGAGATTTTAGAGTCAATAATCACAAGTCCACCAGCACTCTTTAAATATCATTAGTTCCCCTGCATATAGCACAATCAATATCAACCTGAGTTGGCTGGGTTAACCCTCCTGTGTTTAAATCAAATCCCACTTGGCAATTCCTCAAAAGATATCAACAAAAGAAACTAAGTAATAAGATATTAAACACTGACAAGATCTGAATGTTCTGCCATGTGAACCCCCAGTTCCATAGTTGATATACAGCTGAGCCAGCATTGGTGATTTTTATATTGCGGATAGTAAATTGCTGATTGGAAATCCACATCCCAAATGCACCACTAAAAGCATTCAATACCACAATCATTCAGATTGCTAGAGCCTTACCCATCAAAAGTGAGGTCTGACATGAATCCACCAGACCCATTTTCCATAAAGACTCTGTCAATGAGCTGAGTTCAATAGAGAGATATATCAGATTAACAACCCTTGATGCTTTGTCCCTGCTGCCTTGTTCATCTTGAAATCAATGTTCATCAATGATGTTGCCTGTTACTATCTCAGCCTTTGCTTCAACTGTGAACTAAATATATACTGTACCTGTCCAACTTGCCAGTGAATTCCTGTACCAAAGGCTGCTGGTGACATGGCTGTGACATCAATTACAAAGTTGCGAACAGATCGAAAGAAATTCTATTGCAGTTGATATCAGAAGATATAAGTTTGTTCAAAAGGAGATATGACTGACATTCTGATTTGTCCACCAGTTTACACCATTGCCATCAGGTCCAATCTCTCCGGGTATATATGGATCAGCATCTGTTATAAGATCAAACTTGGTTGTATCAAGTACTTTCATAGTTGTCTTTACCAATTACTGCAACTCCAACAAAATTGGCATCTGCAACAAGTGTAGGCTTGTTGTTGTAGTCTCCAACTCTAGGGTTTCATATTTATGTGAGATACAGGTGATCCATAAGATATACTCACAAAGTAGTATAGTAAAATCTGTTATTTTAATGTCAGTATTTATCAAATAATAATAAAGGAGATTCCAACGGAATAATAGGTGCTGTCACACGGTACTGTTCCAAGTGAGATTAGAGTTGAATAATGAAAGAGGAAAAATCACTTTGCCAGGAGGGAAAAATATAATAGCCGGTGTGATCTAGACATTCAAGTTATTTCAATTATTAATTGAAAGCATGAGATGTTGAGAACATACTGTTGAAGAAGCACAACCTTGACCACAACGGCCTCCATCTATGAGATGGTCAGATAGCTATCATAAATAAACATTTTTTTTGTATACCACTAATAGCATTGTTGATAGCTTGAGTATCATCTAATGATCCAAAAGTTAGTAATACTATAACCCTTTCTTGTTAAGAAAGCATTCCTGCAACACCATCTCCAACAGCCTTAACCAATTAAGAAATCCAGAGAAATAAAGACATTAATAACATACGTGATAATCAGTTTTTACATTTCGGAAAACCTACTTGGAAATCAACAATATAATTATAAAGTTTCCCAGCTTACTTTATAGCCTGTCTTGTATGCACTCTTGCTCAGGCTTGTTAGTGCTGAGTCACTCATCCAAAATGGATCTGGCATGGAAATGACTTCAAAGTCCAGTGGTAATGAGAAATTTAAATCATACCAGTGGGAGCTGCTGCTCCAGAGATTCCAGCACATCCTGCTGCCGCTGCAGCAACAAGAGAGGGGTAGCAAACAATAGCAGGAAGGATCCACGCAAGGATGTGCATCGTTGCTGGACAGTTGTTGACCCCAAGCCTCCATTTATTGCTTCGGACAAGATGAATGCGTGGGGAAAACCCCCACAGATTCGGCCATGCACATCTCAACTCTACATACGAAGTATCAATACCTCCGGCAGAAGCTCAGGCAGATTCCAATCTATATATAAGCTGGCCGAGTCACTGCATACTAGGGTGCAGGATTTAAGTCGTGTTTCAAACCGTGTTTTGAAACAGCTGTTTCAAACCGCTGTTTTTAATTATTTTCAGAAAAAGTGCTGTTTCAAAACACATGACCCGTAGGAAAGTTAGGCAATTCACTGACTTTAGTTTGTGCTGTAGCAGCTATACTTACAGCTATAGAGGTAGCATACTGATCAACCATTGTTACTCTCCATATAATGTAACTGGAGGTCTTTTAAAGGCTCAAAGGGTTACTGTCACATGTGTCACACCCTATACAGACAAAACAGAATCTAACGTAGGATAGCAAGAGGCACCCTGAAAGCTTGAGAAATGGTGTAAAGAGACAAGTGAAGATGTATGCTAGCCCAAAAAATGATTCAAAAGGTCAAAAATTGCTATTTTAGGCAATTTTAATCAATCCCTGTTTACAAACCGGTTTCTAAATCAACTGGGAGTTCAAACCGGTTTTAATAACCCCCCAGAATTCAATCCTGCACCCTACTGCATACTAGTATGCCCGCTATAATTTCAACTGTTGAACAGCTCGAGGATTCTCTGTGAGCTAAATTTCGATTTATTGCCAGGCTGAAGGTTGTCATACTTAGACTAATCAGAGACTTGTGCCAGCCTGAGTGAGCCTGAGGTCCGTAGCACAAACTTGCAAGTCGTCGGTCGGTACCGATAATTATCCCGCAGCGCTGCCAGTTACGATCCTCCATCTTCTCGTCGCATGGTTCTATTTGTTGGGCTCGAATGCGACAGCAAAAGGGGTTTTACCGTTTCTACACTTTTATTTTTAGTTCAAGTGGTCAGGAGCTTGATTGGCACCAATTACTGTCCGCTCTACAATCCAACAATATACACTACTATTGAGCGGATATATGCACATTATATTCATGCTGTTGAAAGCTTGAAATCGTCTACATACACAATGTAAAATTGAGAGACCGGAAGAGAAACACTAAACTAAAATGGAGAAGGGTCGTTCTCGCATCTTGATACAATACCAGAACCCATCTTTCCGGAAAGACATTGAAGTGATTGCTGCTCAATGGTTGGTTGGTGTAGCACCAGCATGCGGGAGAACCAAACGCCGCATGCTATATCGCGGTGTAATGTTCCTGACCGGCGCAGTTGGAAACAGTGAGCCTTCATTACAATGCTCTTACTAGACGAGTATTCGATGCGATGGTTGTAGTTTTATCCGCCGCTTCTCTCCGTTGTTTGATGGCGCTGGGGAGAAGGTGCACCTCGGGAAGCTGTGCAGGAAGGCAGATACGTCGGTCGAGTCAGCTGTTCGCACGGAAATCATCAGTGACTATGGCGAAAGAGCGAGGGAATAGTAACACGCACCGAGCATCGATTCCCCTGGCGGTGGAAAATGAAGAGGGCTTCCATAGCACAAGTCGAGGCCATCGACGAGTAACGCACGTTGTTGAGAAAGTGCGCCGAAACGCACGGATCGTGCTAACGAGCTCGGTATTGGCTTCGTATGGTGCTCCATAATTGGATCGTTGTCCTGCAACCTTTGCTCCAATTTCACACTCCTTGACCGACGACCGTCTCCATTAGAGCTTTCGCCAAATTGCGAGATGCTGGGATTGTAAACAATGAGACGCCTGCCGTGCTAGGAGGTGGGGGCATGGGGCGGGGGGATTTCATGTCCCAATATTCCTAGTGCTGCAGAGTGAGGGGATGGGATGATTTGTGCATATCTTGCTATCTTTGAGAGCTCTGGGCGTAAATTGGCGGCGCAAGCAAACAAAGCGGTTTCGGTCCAATAGAGATCGTTTGCGCTGCGAGATTTGCGTCCGCACCACTATCTTCTCTGGAATGAGCGATGTGCAAGCTTTCAGTGCCTCGCTTGACGCCAGAGTTTTCGCGCGATGGTCGTGACCAAGATGGATAGCTATTTGGCCAGCCTGGTGGCGCTGTCGCTCTCAGCAGCAGCTGGATATGGGCGACGGCTGCAGCTTCGACCTCCAGGGAAATGAGAAAGAAGGAGATGGAAAAGGAATCATTCGACGCACCTCTTCCCCATTGAAAGGGTCTCACACTCCAAGTTCGGGCATATAAACACTTGACGCAGTTTGAGTTCGAAAACTGTTTTTTTCGTTTATATGCATGGGACAGTAACTCGAGGACGGGGACGATTGAAAGCGGCGAGGATGTTTGGGTGAGAGCTAACAACATTAGTCTTGTGCCTCAGGTCAACCTCTCATACCTTTAAGTACTAGTGTTGTCACCAAACTCATTCGCACTCTATTGGCAGTAACTTGAGTACTGCGCTTTAACACATTGGGTCGAACCGAGAGATAGGAAAGGGAGCGAGACCGGCTGTGCGGAAGGACAGCGAAACAAACATGGACGATGGCGGCAGAATGCAAGTGTGGATTAAGAGTGATGAGACTCTTTCAAAATTGAGCCTTGACAAGAAAGTCTGGCGAGATACTATACGAGTAGCTACTATGGTTCGCATGAATGATAACTGATACACAACAATATATAGCTGCTGGCAAAAACACGAAACAAAGCGGAGGTAAACTTTCAGACCAAAAGAATGCAAAAAGTAAAGTTCAATCTCCCATCAGGCGGATCTTGGTCGCAAAGGTGTTATCGAGTCCTTCTAGATCCGCAGAACGCTGTTTGTTCAACGCGCCCCAGCTCTCCAACTCGAACCGCTCCGGCAACCCCCTCCAAAAGTCGCGCAAAGCATCAGCATGAGTGAGCTTTAACGCCGCCAGACACGTGTCGCAAACCGCCAGCCGGATCCAGTCCGTGCATTCCCAGAGCGTCAGCGGGAAAGTGCCTTTGAGGCGCCAACTCTCCACTTGTCGACGAAGACATGTCCGGCTTTCCCCACACCGACTGGGCTGGCGACAGCCTGGTATTTTGGCAGGCTCCCACAGGAAGTCGCTGATCTGGGAGCCAGCAGATAACCGCATGTTGACGTACTCCCGCGCGCATATGACTTTGTCGGACATGGGGAGTTCGAGGCATTCGGTGCCTTGTTGCACACCAGAGACAATGTCGGCAACCTGCGCGATCGAACAGAGTTGGTAGTAGGCGGTGGGAAGGAACCAGTGAATGGAGAGCTGGCGCCCCAATGTGATGAGCGCGGTCAGCCCCATGCAGTCGATGTCGAAAGTGGGGTTTCCCGGGTATTCGTCAAGCTCCATAACGAACGCTGTGGCGAGGTGCTCTAAAGCACGCATGGAGAGCTCCTCAACATCGTACTTTTTGCTGAGACGCAAAACTCCGCATAACGTTCGCCAGTGGGTTCGTTGTGGTGGAGGAAGAAAGAAACTAGCCCCCAAGTTAGTCAGTCCATTGGAGGCGAGAAAGAGTCCATAATAACACACCGGTAGTCGAGCAGCGCCTTTAAGAAGCACCTCGTTTCCTCCGCCGTATCCTGCAGCTCCACAACAGGACACCCCTCCACCAGTTCATCCCCTTCTGGCTGCGGAAACTCCAGCATACTCTCGAAAACGGGCGAGGCTTTCGCTAAAAGCCCGCCATAAACCCGGAAAAGCGAGTCCCCCGCCTTGATGACGAGCGTTCCATCGGTGAACCACAGCTCGTCCTTCATGGCTATCGACAAGCCCGCACTGTAGGTGGCGTAGAGATCGGGAGGATGGGAGAAGAAGTCCCCGGGGAGGGGTGTAGTGTCGCCGCTCGATGATTGGAACCCAGATAACGCCCTGGGGGCACAGCAGATGGGAGTAACGGGCTAATAGTGGATGTCGATGCAGATGGGAGCTGCGATCCAGAGACGCCGCGCGGTTGATTCAATCCGTCCAACATCAAGAATTCTATTGGTGAAAAGTCAATCGCGTGTATCAATGACGGCGGAAGCTTGCAACACTTGCACATACCTTCATGGACCAAGGGCCAAAGCCACAATGTTGGACGATGTGGCCGTCTCGGACAAGAGTTGTCACCGATGAGTCATCAGTAGTGACTCACCATATAAGACTGTCTTTCAACTCGGATGCTTGTACATCTTCGCGCTCAACGTTTGGTATTTGCCTTGTGGTGTAGTTTTCGCCTTCATACTTCTAAGCATTCTGACAAACAAGAATGTGCCAATTGCCGGCGAGCAACAGTTGAGGGAATGATGAACTTCTCGCATCGTCGCGCTCAGGCTTCGCATCTCTCACAGATGTGAGTTCGGACCCACTCAATGACCGTTTATTCTCGTCGAAACACCGCTATCTCTAGTACATCAGCAACGGTCAATCCGGAAGGTCCATATCCGTGCCGACGCCGAAAATCCTCTCGCGTTGCTCAGTGGCCAGCGCATCATGCAATTTCCGCGCAATTCCTTCTCCTTCCTGCATGACAAACGGATTATAAATGTCCTCTTTTTCCATCTTGACCCGCAACAGCTGCACAGGCCGCGGCTCGTCGTCAGAGGCGTGAAGCGCTGCATTTCGGATAGTTTTGAGATCGCTTTCCTGAATTTCCGTGCGCAGCATATACTGGTTTTTCTTGTCTGCCCGTATGTGCATGTTCATGAACCTGTGCTACATCAATCAAAGACGGCAGCTGGCGGGACGCTCACTCAATACAGGTGTCAATGCTGAACGGTACTTCAGTGACTTCGCTGGTAATTGCAGACTTCTTCTCCCAAGGCGGTGCTTCCTTGACGAACTTGATCGTCGACTTGAGGATGTGGAAAGGACATGTCAACGTCATGACGCTCTCCCCCGAGGCAAACTCGACAAGTCCAACGGAGTCGCCTTCACACCCTGCCTGATCTGCACTCTCTCTGGCCTTCTTCCAGATTTCTTGCCGCATTTCCGTGAGTTCTTCGAGCGTGCAAATTGTTGAGGGCTGAAACGCAGTGATCTGAAGCATCCCCCGCTTCGATGCCACAGGAGGTTTCGAAGGATTCGGGGACGCAATAGGAGTATCGGACTCGCCGTCCCGCCCGAGAAAAACATTGAAAAAGTCCATGATGTCCGCAGGTTCGATACCGATATCGACACGGGCGATGAAAGGAGAGTCGAGGCGAGACTTGATGTGCAAATCGAAAGCCAGTGCAAGACAGGCTTGAAGATGCTTGTTCAGCACGGAATTCGCGCAGAAATTCTGCACGAGCTTCTGGATGCCAGGGCCTTCGACGAGATGGCAGGTCTTCTTGTGCGTTGGCCTACAAGCAAATGTCAGGCTTTGCCAGGCCGCGGGTGGACATAAGCCAACCAATGGGCCGTTTGACACTGTTTTATGTTGAATGATTAGTTTCCTGGCTCAGTAGCAGAGTGACACTGCAAAAACCTGTTTCGAGCAATACATGCGCGGAAGCTGAACCCAGCGCAGAGACGTCGAAGGTTGCGCCGGGGGCATTTGCCCATAAATGTTATCGATTAGTGAGATATACAAGTTCCATCTAACGCGCGAGCTCCAACTCTGGTCTCCTGCATTAAGGTCGGCCTCGGCTTAGTACGAACAGCGCGCGAGTGCCGCTATAGCGCTGAGTGATGCAGTTCGAGCGCGACCTGTGTATCAAGGTCAGTTTTTGGTAAATACAGAGAACAGAACGAGTAGACTTACGATCGAACACCTGTGCAACGCTTCCCGCCGCCATTCGCGCTCACCCGACTCAGCAAACATCCTCCCGCACCCATTTGCGAGCTCTCCATCGAGCGCATCCCCCGACTGCTTGTATTGAGGTCAGCTGGGGTTAAATACAGCAAAGGAGCGAGTACACTTACACTCCCTACCACACACGCAGCCGATGTTGAGCACAACCTTTGGAAAACATCCTCCCGCACCCATTTGCGAGCTCTCCATCGAGCGCATCCCCCGACTGCTTGTATTGAGGTCAGCTGGGGTTAAATACAGCAAAGGAGCGAGTACACTTACACTCCCTACCACACACGCAGCCGATGTTGAGCACAACCTTTGGATTAAGCTTAGCTTGGGCTAAATACAGTAATAGAGCGAGCAGAGACTGACTATCATCGAGCGCGAGGGCCTTGCATGGCCGGTGTCCACCAAGAACCGGGAGTGTGCTTCAGTTTCGCCCAAAGACACACGAGCAACCCCGCTCGCGTTTGCCGATCGACAAGCTGGGGCTACGGACAATAGCCATAACAGACCGCGGCAGTGTCCACACGGCTGCAACGAATGATAAGTAACATGCAAAGCGACTCAGCAGAAGATGACTCTCACCTCTCAGCATACCGCTGGCCAAACAACCAGCGCTCTCACCGAGGCATGCTAGCGCTGCAGCTGCGCAGCCTGTCCGAGTCGCCGGGGCAACTAACAGACCCGCGGCCCGCCAGAGAGCGAGCGCGAGCACCATCCTCAGCGGCCCGCTCACTAACCCGGTGGACGGCAGACAAGCCAAAACGACATGGCGGGCAAGACGAACGAGCGTGGGACCACAACCGGCCGGCCGGGCGCGAGGCCCGGGCACGTGTCGCTGACCACCCTTGCCCGCTAGCCCACCGACGGACCTGCCCATGGCCCGCCCCGAGCTACGTCTTTGGCCGGCGCGCGGAAGCGCTCCCAGTCCTGCCGCGGCCGGCCAGCAAGACAGCCGCGAGCACTCAACTCGCACAACCACTAAGTAACAACAAATCAACACAAGTCTCCCTGGCAACTCAAAGCCGACCTTCCGCACTCGACCAGCATCACGGGCCGCTGCCTGTAGCCTTCCCCGAACCGCTGCCGCCGCTGATTCCCGCCGAATGAACGTCGCTAACAAGAAGTCAGTCGGGAACAGCGAGAAAGCGAAAATACGCACGACAAGGCCGGGAACGATGCGGTCTCTGCGGCAGCACAATGCCGCCCTCCCGCACTCGACCAGCCTTGGCCGGAAGCTAGCTCCCGAGCCGCTGCCGCTCCCGATTCGCGCCAAATTGGGACTGCTAACTTGGATGAAAAGTTGGTTGGTGAGAAGGTGGGAGGTGAAAACCACGCACGACAAGGGAGACGCTGTCTATCGCCATAACGCAGAATGTAGAGGACAACCTTTGGATTAAGATAAGCTTGGGTGAATACGGGAAATGACCGAGATGATTTACCAGACGACAGCGCACCCTCCCAACGTTCCACATCCAGCGCGAATGCCCGCATCATCAACGCGGAGCAGAATCTGTGGGTTCTGGGTCAGCTTCGCCCAAGTTGAAAGATAAATGAGCATGATATGCTCCCACTCACGTTGGCGAGCTCCACGTTGAGTGATCGCACAACGCGTTGCCTGGGAGGAGGAATCTGCAACGCTTGGTCAGATATCTCGAAGGTAAACTGAAGTATGTCTTGTGCAAACTTGAATTGAGACTTGAAGAGATGTTGCGTGCCCGATGTTAAGCAAGAACTTAGAGATTAGGTCGGTTTTAGCGAAAGCTGGCCAAGGAGCGAGACGGCCTACCAGTCCTGCTTGCGTTTGTTCGCGAGCACTGCAACGAAAGCGTTGCACCACCCACTTGGCCCTGGACAAACGAAGGTCAGCCAGGTTAAAGTGGGCACAAAACAGCAAGAACATCGAGGTTTGACGACGAGCAGGCCTCGCTCTTCAATATTCACGGCGCTAACGACCAGTTAAAAGCTTTTCGACAATAAGATGAACAACACTCACGATGGAGTCAAAACTGGGCGATGAGACAAGAGGGCTGATCATATAGATATATGTATTGTCTAGGCGAAGACAAGATCAGCAACGATGATATGTGTAGACAAAGAAACTTACATACATTCCTGGAACAATGCAAGGCTTTCTTGTAATTGGCGCCGTGGCGAAGAACGATGTTCGGAAGTTTTTGCTTGCAGAGATGACTATTCGCGACACAGGCTAGAGAAATTTGCATAAGATCGATAGAAATTAGAAGGGAGATGACACACCTTTGACGACGACAACAATGATAGCGACAGCAGATAGAACGACCTTGTTTGAGGCAGAAGATATAGAGTGACTGCGACAGGGTCAACGAAAGCAGAAGAGTCAACGAAGAGAACTCACCGACACCAGCATCGCTATCCAAGAGCGGTTCCAGAAGCGAAGACAGTGGTCGAGAACCATGTGTTGAGAGGGTCAAGGCGAGGGCTTGAGCAAGTGTTCAGGATGGTGTAGAAGAAAGAGTAGGTAGTAGACCTCACCAGAGTGGACCGAGCCGATGCATGCAAACTGTCATTTGAAGTCCTGCGAGATGTAAGTAAAGCGCGTGAGAAACATTAATATACTGCGCACCTGGGAACAGTGTAGAGCGTGCTGAGGGCGTTGGTGTTGGCGTCGGCGTGGGCCCGGGCTTGAAGGAAGTGCTTCTACTAAGTAGTGGTCAGCACGCTGTCGCAAACAGAAACGTGCACGTGAGACGTACCACGGCCCGGACAGGCTCCCTTTGCACTATCCCAAGTCGGCCACTGCCCGCCAGTCCCGACAGTCGCGTCAGAGGGCGGAGCACGATTCAGATCGTGTTGGTTGGTTGAAAGTCGGGCGGGCACAGCCTCACACGAGTCGATCGATCACACGTGTCCGCTGACGGCGGCCTTACGAAAACTTCTCTCACGCGCTCACTATCCCTGACGATGGCGCCCAATGGCTCAGACACTCAAGACATGCCCTTTGCGCTGCCGCAGACA